CCCCAAAACCCCAAAACCCCAAAACCCCAAAACCCCAACTCTCACCAGGAATATTGATAAATTTATAAGTTCTGTACAGCCAGAAGCCTATCAATAATTGTATGTCTAATATTTTCTTCAGATATATCAATTTCACTCTCTGGAGCGATGCCAATAAGTTCCTCGATTCGTTGGACCTATAAAATTCCTCAACCTTGCTTACCATCTCAGGGATGTGCTTGACTCTATAATAAGGAGTTAAAAGAAGATTAAAAGGGTTAGAAAATCTGTAACTTACCCTATGGTTGAACCTTCAATTTCTCTATCATCAAAATTCATATTTGCTGTTTGATAAGCTCTTTCTAGGAGATTTATGATGATCTGGCTGTACTCAGTCATACGTTCTATATGTCATAATCTAACTTACCATCATCTTCTTCAGACACTTTATCCTCCTGATAGTAGAGCCTTACATGAGATTTTTCTACATCTAGAGCCACTGCGAAGATCAAAAGAGTGTTTTCCGTCTAAATTGGGTTACTTAGAACTTACAAATATGGGCACGATTAATAAGTCATGATCATCAAAGTTTTTGAACTCCTCGTTTAAGGCATCAGATTTTATATTTGTTTCATTCTCTTTTTCAAATTCTTCTAATAAGTCAGTCTCAAAGATTTTAGTGCGGTGGCATTCCTTCTTAGGGTTTCGCAATTCCTCACAAGAGAAGGTAAAATCATCATAAACTTCCAGCAATCTGAGGTAAGAGTTGATGATTCCGATGCAGCAAGAGTAATTTCCATAGAAAAATTCATAAAAATCTCTAGTGCTAGTCTGTGCCTTTAGAACCGACTTCATGTAATCCTGAGCTGTTATAAATGACTCATCTTGATCTCCTAAATGAGAACTGTGTCTAAAAGATTGACTCAAACGATGCTTTAAGATGATCTCATCATCAGAGCTTTGTTCATTATACTCTTGCTCTAGCTTCTCAAAAAGTCCTGCGATATTGCATGATTCAGAATCACAGCTGTAAACGCCGTTCTTAATGTTCCTTTTAAAATAAATTTCGAGGACATTAAGTAAATCAGGACCGTATTTTTCATTAAGTTCCTGTTTGAAATCAGCCTCTTTATTATTAATGATATTGGCGTTTGTCGAAACAAATGAGAGGTTACTTTTCCTGCCGAGAACCATTGTATCGTCATGTCTGTACAAGGTCTGGTTGAAGTCTATGTCCGAAGCTCTTTCATGCTCTAAAAAATAGGAAAGGAAATTCCTACCTTCAATTAAGTTACTTAGGGACCCAAATTTATCGTCAGTATCAACTACCTCTTCCGTGGGCTCTAAAGAATCAGATTTCGCTTACCAGCAGTGTAGAAGTCAGGAACGCTGTGTTGTTTTTTTTCTAGCCCAGCTGGGTATTCTGAGGCATAGACTCCACTTCTGTCTAAGAACGGATTCTCTACTATTAATTGTTTTTGGTTTGGAGACTCATACTCAGGTCTGACTGCATTAAGATTAAGATATTGCATCGAATATTTAATTAACCAACTCAAATAGCTCATCAGGTTAAAAGAGTTATGAATGGGAATATACTAGATGAGGAAAAAGTTGGTCTAGTCGATTTCTAATTTTCAGCATCTATTTTATTTTTTCTCAGTGTTCAAAAATTGAGGTTTAAGGAGGAAGAAATTTTCTTAATTTCAAAAAGTAGTATTTTAACTAAAATTTAGCATACAAACCTTTCCTGTTTGGTGGTTGGATTACAAAAAGACTCGACTAATAAGTTATATGATCTCTATAATTTCTAGAAATTTTAAATTTAGAGTTTTGTAAGCTATTTTTTGATTCTTTTTACAGAAACTTCTAAAATTTCTTCACCCAATGGTTAAAATATGTCATAAAAACTCACAATTAAGCTGCTGTTTTGGCTCTTCGTCAATTTCATCCTGGTCTGGAGCTAGACAGATATCCCTGTGGTTCATGGCAAAGTAAAGGAACCGTTTTCTTATAGTTTTGATTTCAAAGAAATAATGGAACGCATTAGCTAATTTTTCTTTAAATTTGAATGGTTTGTAGGTTACAGTCTGCCCCTCTAGAGGATCAAACACTAGGCTTACTCTTCCTTTCCTTCTTTTCTGATGAGGAAAATATGTAGTTCTTCATCATGAATTTAGCAAATTTTATAAAAACCTTGCTGTTGGTCGTAGCATTTTTGACAAGATGATCAAATTCTTCGTCTCCTTCAAGATCTTCATAAAGTAAATTGATGAAGGGTAAGATAGCACTAGCAAAAAGAACTCCTAGTACTTCTAAAGTTGCTGGATCCCGTCGGTGAAACTTGTAGTTTTCAGTCTAAATAATTAAAAAGGTGCTTACATCTACTTTTGAATTGTTGAGATCATAGCTAATCTTTTTAGCTTCCTCTATCACCAGTTTTACTAGCTCACCTCATTTGACACTCTTATTCCTCTGCTGATTCTCATTGCAGATCAGCAGCAAGAAGCAATTGACCTTCAAAGAATTCAGAAATTCATCTTGTTCGTGCTCATTGGCAAGCAAGAAATATGGTTGTTCAAATATTTCTGCTAGATAGACACCCTTGTGAGCTATTTCACCATTCTCTGATTGAATAAAATTCTTCTCTATTATCTCCTGAAGGTCATCAGCCTGAATACATGACTTGTAAGAAGAGTCATTCACTCTCTTAATTGCTCGCTTTAGGAGAGACTATAATTAAGATCAGAAGGTGGAAATCCACCTGCGGGGAACTTACCCGTTGGCTCTTGTTTTTGATTTTCATCTTATTTCTCCTTCTTATCGAATAACTCTGAGTACTAAAGCGTTAGAGAAAAGATTTTACACTGTCTTTATTTACTTTCTGGAATTTCAGAGTAAATATCTTTGTTCTCCTCTTTCTTTCTCTGGGTTCAGCAACCGAAAAGGGATTGAAACATTTTTCTTAAGATTAATTATTACAATTCTATATTCTTTGGCTATTTCGGGGTTTTGGGGTTTTGGGGTTTTGGGG